TTCCGAGATGGTTCGTCATCTGATATGAACAATAGAGGTATTCCGAATTTGGTAACACCAGCTTCGTAAAAACCTGCTGGATTTCCGACATGTTATCAACTAAACGGATATTATGCGAGCGGGAGTACCTATAGACAGTTACGTCACGGTTCCTTAGTGACTGGTTCGCTCAAAATCCGCCGCAGGCATAATTCGGCATTTCCTAAAAAAAGATGCTTGAATTGATTTCCTAAGAGGGCGTTTTCGGTTTCTTCTCAATCATCTAGCAAGATCTTACATTTTATTTCAGTGCACATAAGTATTTAGATGTCGAAGGTTAACTTAACCATATTAAAACTTTAACTTAACGAGTAGGGAAAAAGAAGCCTCTCTTTTGATTCCTTAGGCAACAATATTTTTAAGGATTCCCTTCGACTCATTGATATAGAGCTGCGACATTCAGTAGAGCCTCGTCAAGTCCTTGCAAGATCGATTCGTTTTTTCGATAAACTTATGACAGATTCTCACGGGAATTACTAGCCACGCGAAAGCTTATAACCGTTAAAAATGATTTAAAGAAACTAGAAAAGAGAGAGAAGGCAAGAGACGCAAACTAAGCGAATTAAGACCAGTGAAACGGGCATTATGGCATTAATTAGTTTTAGATGACTGGACGTGGTTAGGTTTTTGAAAGCCGAGGTTTGTTTTTCACTATCTAATATAACATCATACGTCGACTAGGCTGGCCGACTGAATCTCAGTTTATTTAAGTGATCTTAGCCCATTGAACATAAAGTACAATGTACGTTTGTCATGAAACTCAGACTGAGGGGTTTTTATTTCCCAACTTAGAATTCTCTACCGATGTAACTGTCTTGATTTCCTCTATGGTAAATAGGCCAGAGTTAGACAATGCGATCGAATTAATAAGTGAGACATCCACGCGGATTCCTGAGAAAAAAGTGATTTTTCTAAAATGATTATTCATCTCTAAACTGTTCAACAATGTTTTAAAGACCTTCTTTGGCTACTCGAAATCTATAATCGAGCGAAACTGCTTGAGATATACCATTTGACGCTATGATCCCTTTGCACTTGAAAGTAATGTTGTTTATCGCGGCATACAAGTGTTTATTCAAAGATACTATCCCACGGACTTTGAACCAACAGTTCGAGAACATTTTATACATTTCACGAATAAAGGTTTTCCCCTTGATTTGTTCATTTGAAAACCTCAAAGATACGAGGCGCCTTCTACCCCTAACACCAGTGAAATTTAACGGCACTGACATAATAATGTTTCAGCCGTCGAAAGAAATACTTTCGCCGACATGTCGCATTGTAAGCACCAAGGGATATTGCAATACAAGGTTAAGACTGAAAAAGAAACTCAAGTATGAAAACAGGAATTTTGAAATGCGCGACATCGCCCTTTGGTTTATGGCGTTCTTGTATCAGAAGCAGGCCGGCTACATTTTAAGCATGAAACAACTATATCCTTAGAAAAAAAACTGCATTTATGAAATCTTCCATGGGCAATTAATGATTTTAAATCAATATTGCACGATTTGCTTACCTATGAGAAACAAATATGTCAGTGGTTTTGTTGATTCCTTTACAATCTTCTCTTTCGAGACTAAAAGAGGATTAATCTTAGACATTCAGTAAGCAGGCACACCCGTAAATTAAGTAACTATGTTAAATCCTATCAACGGAAGAGAAAAGTATGCTTCAAAGCAACCTTAAAAAGCCCGAAATAAAGTTCGGTATAGGAATAATAAGCTTCAGAAGAGGTTTGACGTTGTCGGTAGATGATAACTTTCAATCCCAATATCCCATAGAAAAACGCTAGAAAGACACCATAGGAAAAATGAATGAAGAAATTCAAACTTTCCAACTTACATCTCGCCGATTGACAGAACTTTCAAAGAGTTCCTTGGTGACTGAGATTATTTTTTTTGTAGAAGGGAATTTTTTATCCCTGCAAAGGCAAAAATGCAGCCTTCGACAAATTGATCTGTACGCGACGAAGAGATTATTAATAACGGCTCGGATCGATATTTTGTTCTTAAACTTTACTTTGATCCCAGCATGAATATGTAAACAATTGATATTGAAAAAACAGGAAATGCGGAAAAAAAACTCTTTATGAAGTAATGATCAATAGTGTCAGAGGTTTTAACACAAATAAAACCTATAACTCTGTTGTGAAAATTGAACGCGTGCACACATCTACCCAAAGAAGGAAGTCTTAGCGTTGGAACGGATTTTTAATTTGATAGACCTTCTATCAACGCACTAAATTCTAATATTAATCAAAAAACGAATGATTCAACGGTTTCACCCTCTTTAATTACATTCTTTTTTACCTTAATATGTCTACTATGTCACTCTTAAAGAAAATATAGTTGACACCTCGTTACTTCTTTTTCATCCTCATTAAAATGGCCTTGGTCAACCATCTGTGAGAAATATTCCAGCCGTACACTATTCCAGACAATTGGTTAAACAAATCGTACCAAAAAAGCTTTGTTTATTTTCAATCTTAAAGTACAAAGAAACTAGCAGGTTCGTTACTTAAACTATATTTAAGAGAAAATGTTCAAATATCTGACGCGGTTTTGAGATGATTGCATTTGCGCACAGATATTAATGGTTTCAATGGAAAATTTTTTTGGCCTGTTACGAACCAAGCTCCGTCTAAAATGCGACATATATCTAAACTAATTGATTAAAAAGGAGATTTCAAGGTGACGTAAGTGCTCTAAATCTTTCCAAAGAGGTATATAATAACGTCTGTTGTACTCTTCTAAGGAAACGCAAATTTCTTTCCAAAAGGGATCCTTCTAATGAAAACATTCTCAGTTTTAAATAAAATAAAAAAACTAAGTTTGGCATGACAAATCTCGTTTTATCCCAAAAAAAGCGTATAATTTGCACTTTAAATGCTACGATTTTCAAGTGGCTAATTTTTACAAACGATTACGCAGCCTGTTCTAATGGACTTTTAGAATCAGCTACTTAGCCTTGGAAAAACCCGATTTTATTACAAAAACAAGCCCTGAGGATACGTCGGAGTTACTTGTTATTTGCGTTGTTGGGAGAGATTCTAGTAAAATTGGTACAATCTCGTTTCCTCGCCATGAAACGTTTGCAGTTAGCTGATTTTAATGGCCTTTCATTTACCATCTGTTCAAAGTGCCTTGATATTAAAAGCGCTGTGCTTTGGGTTTAAGCCGGAAGACTATGTGCAAGTGCTTTCAAAACCTACAAGTAGGTATTTTATTGTAGGAAGAGGGATGAACAAAAAGTCTCGATTGCCAATCTTTTCAGGAAGAAGGAAACAATTTTGACTTCTTTTGCTTCAAAGTCTTGAACGGATGCGAGGTCTTCTGGGATAAATAAAAAAATTTAGCTCCACAAAGTTACAAATCAAGACATATTCGTTGTAAATTAAGCGCAACATTAATATTGTTTGTCATCTGTATTTACAACTCATGACTCATACTATAAGATGATTCCAGCAAGCTATGTCACCAAACACTGTTTGCCAACATTTAAATTCGTTCGACTATTATTTGCATCAAGTAGACGAAGATGTTCTTTTTGTCGTAATTTACAACTTATACAAAGGAGTGCAGATGTCTGTCGCCAAGAGCTTAATTAGAACACAGAAGTAAAAGCGCCGTTTTTTCAATTATAGCGTGTTAAATGGTCCGATACAGAATATGGAACATCCTTTATTATTCTTACTTAGTTGTTTATGTAATTTTTTTTTCACATCTCCCCAGGATCATTTCACTGAAGTTCACCTGTTTCAAGAGCCGCCCCCTAACTGACAAAGCTGGAAACTTTGAAACTCAAAATTCTTCAGCCTCAGTCTGACACAAGCTTCGTACAAAATAAGATCCATTCAATTCAACATGTGAAACGACGGAGACTACGAGATTTACTACCACATTTAATAGTTACGTTCCGGTTCGAAAAGTGAAATATTCGTCTGGAAAATACATTTGGCGAAGCTCTAAGGCCTTGAAGTAATCAACTCCTAGCGAAACCACAATAAAGAGAAGTGATTAACTAGCTTTTAAAACCCATTTGCTATTCTAACTGTCCAAAACTAAAATTGTCACAATTAGAAATAATTTCTAACCGTATTTTTTATGCTTGGCTCTAAAATTCACCGGATAAAGCAAGCATTTGGCTGTCCTGTTCGAATGAAATGTGGTCTTAAATGTTCGACTTAATCCTCTTTCCAATAAAATTTCGGATCAAATTTAGCTAGGAATGCGTTTTTTGTTAGCAAGAATCAAAATACATGTATCGTATGTAACTTATGCATAATCATCTAGAAAAAAACAGTTGAACTGATAAATGAACAAATTTTTACCATTTTTAGCGAAGGACATATCCACTGAACTTTAAGAAGAACTGAAAGTGATCTATGAAATCGAAAACAATCGCGTTCCAAAATGGCGGCAAAGGACCCGTAATCATTTGTGACTTTCGCTTTCTAACCTCGACCGGCTGCAGTTTGTTAGAAGAGATTAACTGAACTGTAATTTGTGAAAAGTTCGAGTTCATAAGTGCTATATTAAGAAAGATCTGAATTATTTTTATCGTTAATAGAGGCTTAAAAGATCGACTGAATTTGATAGTTTTACCGAGACGACGTTTTTTTCTGAATGGCCGAAACAGGCATGACCTCTTAAAGTGTTTTGATAGTGTCACTGTCTTTGTTTGTTTTATCATCTTCGACGGCCTCATTCTTTTAAAACACATATATAGACTCTCCTCATGGGGTTTTGAATGCCAATAATGCATTTAATTTGTTAGGAAACTGGACGATTTCTCGCAAAACCAAATGAGCCATATCAAGACGGAGTCGAATCACGCCGAAGATAAAATAGCTAGCTCTTCTGCGACATGTTATGCAAAGATCAGCTAATCTTTGATTGAATTCCTTCCAGATTATTGTTACAGGCAAATGACTGAGGGTAAGATAAGCAATATTTGGCCTCTATAAATAGTGCTTACATGTTAAACACTTTTCACTTCTCAGAAATTACATAAACAAACGCAGGAAAAAGAAGTGTAAATGTCATCAGTTCTAGGAAAATCGTACATCCGTTATTTTCTTCACTCGAAGGTCGTAATTCTTATTTTGGGAATTGCTGTATTTCTATCATTAAATGTATTTTAAGATTTTGGTATGTGTTAAAGCACGTCGCTAAAATACCAAACATTTCCAATGTTGGCTGTACATAGAAAATATACTGTAAAGCGTGTTAAAAATGTTTTCAAAAGGTCACTTGACGGGCTGAAGATTGTCCCAATGATATAATACAGACGGGAATTTATACTGGCAACAAAACTATGAAAATCCGCAATAACTTATCGATCACAAGTTGAAAGGTATAACCAAGACTTCACCAGATGATGAAGTAGCTTTTACTGTTTTTTAGACAACGTAAATTTAAATATGGCATTTCAGTTATATATGTCTACTTCACTCTGATCCAAAGGTCGCTCTTACAGTTCTAAAGTTAAAAGTCATTGAACGACTCAGTTACACCTCAAAAGCCTTTTGAGTTCTGGAAAATGCATGTAAGCTACAAATTAGCTTTCTCGTTCGTGCTCGAACTAGGATTGCTACTTTTCTTAGTTGTTGAACACCGTCAAGTATGCGAAGATTAAGAAAAGCAGAAAAAATGAAGTGCTCAATCGGCAGTTTCGCAGCTAATTTTTTCCTGTTTCCTGCGAAAAACGACTGGATCATTTAAACGTGATAAAATGGTTTTTGGAGCATTAAACTACGTGTATCGGAAACGGTTGTTTTTACAGTAGATCGGTTTCAAACACAGTACGTAAATTTTTAAGATTTAAAAATATTTTCGCGATGATTACAGATACATTTGGCGCTAAATACGCTAAATCTACTTAGCGACTGAAGCTCAAAAACCTCTCCAGTCGTAGACAAATTCAGAGTTCATAATTTTTCGCATATTTTCTTGGGAAATGTTTCATTCTTAATGTTGAGGAGTGAGTCACTATTCCTCTTGGTCTAAGGGCAATAATTTATGCATATAATGAGGGATGGAATAGCTTTCCTGCGGTACTCGAAGGAGACCGAAGAATTAATCGGAAAAATGGAGAAGAAAATACGAAGTGTTTTCTAGAACTCCGCGGCGCGGGTATCTTATCTCAGCCATGATACATTTGCAGCCGTGACAATTGGTCAGTGAGAGCTGTTCGATCTGACACGACCTTTTATCTCACCAAAAATCACTGACTGCAATCACCGAAGTTAACACTACAAAAACAAGATTTGATAAGTCGAGAAGGCGATGCAAGACTCCCCGAGTATATTTAGCCTCGGGTCTAATCCAGAGATATACGCGAAATTTCGTCGGAGAAAACAACCGGGTTGGAAAGATTTCAGTCTTAATCCGAGCGAATCCTGTTTTCGCGTCGCCAACTGTTTTAGACTTCACGAAGTTAAAAACAAAACCAGATGTGCATTTTCTATTGTTGTTCATAAACGTTCGTTTGACAAATCTAAAACAAGATTGAAATGTTAAAAGAGGCACACACTTTTCATCACCGAGAAAATTAAACTCGCTCAGACAATATTGCCTCCTTCATGACGCGAATAAGTATTTCTTGGTTTTGTTGTTCAAACGCTTAATTTCATCCGTAAACTACTTGAATTAATGCAGTGTGATATGACAAAAAATGGGTAAGTCTCAAACAATTATTTAAACAACTGTCGACAACCTGTTTCCGAAATCAACACCATTTACGCTGATTTGAATGTTTTTCACAGAGGAGGTATTCTTTTCATGATTCTAAACAACTTTTTAAATCTCTGTTTTCTACTAAACATCCCTGTTTCAGCGTGAAAGCACAAGTCCTGACATTACATCAATGTGTCTTTGATTAAAATTACTAGCGTTAGTGGTGATTCTGATATATTCAGTTCGTGTGGCCTTGCATGTGAAATGAAAATACAGAAAGAAAATTCTTAGAAAAAAACTGCCGTGACTCCATCAGACTTCGCTTCATCTGGGGTTTCGATGTCGCTAAAAACTTTCATCACAACCTAATTAACATGGCGATGATAACAGGCTTATGTAGAGAGACATTTTTGGGGTTTTGACTTGTAAATTCCCCCGAATTTAAATCGGGCGTTCTTGTTAAAATCATGCAATGCTAATTCTGAAAATCTCTTTAATGACTTGTTTTAATTCCACACAAAATAAAGATTTTCAAACTGCAAGGAGCAGAGAAATGTCGACTTTAAAACACAAAAGCGAAAAAATACTCCTTTTATTGCGAAGAAACATGTACAGAGTTTTGATGACGGCGAGCTACCACAAAGGCTTGTTTCTCACCGAACACTAATTACACCATTTTATCCTATATCTTTGAATATCATTTCCTCTGCATGCAGCGGAGTCCTAAAGCCTATTGTGTTTTAGCATAGGGAGTTACTTTGACTCTGTATTAAATAACAGGGCATGATTTCTCTCTTGAATCTTTTTTTCAGGCTCAGATGAAAAGGAAAGGAAACGTTACAACGGTAAACTGAAATCGTTATTCAACGCACCGGCTAATGTAAACAGTTAAAATCACTTATGACTTGATTTTAGCGTCGATTCAATGGTTGACCAAAAATTTGACTCACAAATGAGAAATGCTGCCTCCAGGGTACAAGAAAAGATAAAGAAAATTTGTTAATAAAAGCTCTAAGTTTTAGAAAGAAAAGAAACAATATTGTAGAGTCGTTTTTGTTACATTAGAGGAAGTTTATGTAACCGAGCAACGGGTTATACTCCGAAAATATTCCACTCGTGTTGTAAAGGAGACCATTGAGTATTATATTAGATAGTTAGCGTAAGTGATGCTCTTTCTCAAATTGTAGTATCACGTATATAGAATATTTCGACAGATTTAAGCTGACTAGTAATATCTCCTACTTAACCAAGTGTCTGACAGCTAATCAACTAAGTCAATGTTTACACTTCTTGGCACTGCTTGTTTACTTTATTTTTCTTAGGCATGTGAGTCACACGCTATCAGTCAAGGGAAGGGAAAAAAAAGCAACTACTCCCCAAAAGATCCGGTTTGAATTTTTCGGGCGTTTAGCCAACACCCTCGTAATCTTAGGGTTTGACCCATCATGTCCTAAGCATTGCCGATTGCTCACGTACTGAGACTGCGGTATTTGAATGATAAACAGTCTAATTCAATGCGATGAATCGGAGCATAGCTTTTATCACCTTGTAAGATTACTGCTAGTTTCATGGTTTAAGTTGCAAACATGATGTTTAAACAATGTCTTCAGTGGTACCCAACCGAGTAAGTTTGAATAGGCTTCCAGCCAGAAAGAATGAACATTAAAACTCTTCTTCGTGTAATAAAACAGTACCAGCTGTGAGTTGTATCTTGCGGACAAAATGGTCTCCGCTTTTGTCGAGCTGATACTCTTTTCGTATAGCTAAAACTGCTGTCGTTTAATGGCGATGAAATAAGAATTTTCGGGCGCGTGTGACTATCCCAGCCGCCGTCAATGTGTTCGGTCTAATCGATTGCGTTCAGGAGTGGTCACGTATGAGCGAACACGCACTTCAGACCACGCGATGTGCAAGTGTACACACACGCGATCACAAAATAGCCACAGATTTTACGGACTTTGCTCACCTGTTTAGAAAACGTGAAAATGAAGCAACGCACACTACTAACAAAGATCCTTTTGACTATAAAAGATAACAACCATCTACAAGCCTAATCAACTTTTTAAGGCGTTTAGCTGCAGCGCAAACCGACTTCTGACAAATAAAAACCTCTGATAGGTTCTATGTTGTTGACGTCCCATTGTTCACTACAAAAACACATCTCTAGATACAACGCCATATCGCAACAATGTATTATTACTGCTCGAAACAAATGCATACAAATGAATCGCCGCATAGGTTCGCATTGCGTAGCTGTACTGTACAATTTAGTCGGAAGTTGCTTATCGTGCTTTTTTTTTTTGTAAGAACGTCTTCGATTACTTATCAATTCAAGCCTGTTACAAAAATAGAACGTCATTTTTTTTCTCCTCGCGGCAGCAAAACCAAAATAGAACGGTCGATCTGTGAATAATTTATTCTAAAGTAACGGACACCTATTTAGAAAAACATTGTTTTAACCAAACCTGACAACGCTAGCCCAGAAGTATCTTTCCAAAAATTCGCGTGCTCATCATTTCATGCCATCTTGGCTAAAAATAGCAGCTATTTTAAGTGTACACATTCAACAATCTGCCCGCCAGAATATTCCATTACTTTTTACCGTAACATTATACAAAAGAGTACACTTCAAGGTTAAACAGACAGATCAAAGCGCAACCAAAAGTCACGAAAATAAATATTTCTATGTAAAAATATTTTGAAAGCTACTCCTTCGTGAGGCCGTCTACACGATATAACCAAAAATTTTTCTTGTCGCTAAATCTGGGGAAATTGGTTCGATGACATAACATGACTTTTATGACAAAAATCATGACTTTTATGTCCTCAGGGTGAACTTAAATTACAAATAAAGCTTTTACTCAAATGGTCAAAACTTTTTTCCTTCATCTCTTCAACCATTTAGCTGGTCGAGTCCTTAGAGTCTGGACAACACGTACAATCATCTTTACCGTGAAGAAAAGGGCAGAAATCGAGTTTGGATTACGTCGAATTGTTATTCGAAAGGAGAACAAACTTTTGGTAACAACGCTGCAAACTTAAATATTCATGTATAACCTCTTACAAGCGAGAAATAAGGTGTGCGATCTGGAGAACCACTACTTAAAAGTTAAAAATCAAAACGCTTCTTTCTTACCTGAAACGCGATGATAAGCCTAGTTGTGCTCGGCCCGTCGTCCCACTATTCAGCGTGTTCGTTATGTGTTTTATGAAACCCTGACCAACGCCACCTGAAGTGTTATAAGTAGAAACACGTTTTACTTACTACATAGGTTACTAAAATACCAAACAAAGAACAGACAATACAACTGTCAATTACATTATGTTAAAAGGGTTTCATTGTGTTTCTTGTTCGACCACTCACGGCGCGGGACTGTGTGTCCAATGAGAACGTGAGTTGCATGTTATCACGTAAGCCAGCGTACAATTATTAGTCGCCAACTCATCTGACTTAAATCCAATATAGCTACAAATTAAAACGGCCTAGATTTTGCCTGATTTAAAACCATAGATAATTTTTTTTAGTATCCTTGATTTCAAGATAGTTTAAGAAATAGCTTTTCACGACTGTATAGATGTGACTGGAATGAAGTTGTGTCACAATTGGTTCGTGCTATTTTACAACCTTGAATGGAATATAATGTCTTGAACGCACTGAAAGAAAACTGAAGCTTTCACTTGATTACGTAGAACATCCTTACCTAAAGTATCAAGTTCTGACATGAGTCAACCTTGTATCATCATGTTTGTGGGTGGAAAATGTTAAGTATATGAACACATTCGGTCAAGTGTTAACATAGCGGGTATCCTAATTTGAAGCAGCTACCAGTCTGTGTACTTTAAAGTTCGAGGCAAATAACTACTCCTTTTTCACAAAAGAGTTTTGTTCTTTCGCTAAAGGTGGCATACCGTAAGTTATACAGCCGTTACGTGAAATGATTTATATCGACTTACTTCACTAGCTGTGACAGAAGGCGCTAAATTATTGAATCCGATAGTTAACACTTCGGTACAAAATTGTTCAGTGATTCCAAAATTGCTCAAAATCTGTATACCAGCATTTTGATAAGAATCTTTTTATTTGCTCTTTTCTACAGGTTCAAATGACACATGTGTCAAAGACTATTATTAAAGAAAATGACGCGCGCAGAAAATATCTCCTTTGCCCCGCTGTGGCGCAGGTGTCTAACTGACAAGAAAAGACATTCGCCTGGATCACATAATATCGCTTCACCGGCAAACTTTCGTTTAACAAAACATACAGAAAAAAAAGGATTTTCCCCCCAAATTGATCAAGATTCATTTGATTAATTAAACTTTTTAACAACTTCGAGTGGAAAAGAAAAATTGCTGCTGAAAGTTTATTTTGAAAGTACAAAACACACTTGAAATCACTCAGGTATTGAGGAGTTTCCATAAACCTTTCAAATGACCATCCAGTTATTGCTTCTTGTGTGAGTCAGGGTTAATTAAGGTAATTTTCCAAGCCAACAAAGCACTGAAAGGCGACACTAAGACGGCAGCAGTAAAAGTTCATGTGCAATTATGCAATTACGACAAAGAAAAGTAATTTTCGAAAGCTCTTTTGTCGATGGAAAATCTCATATTTGTTGGTTATCTCCCTTGAAATTTACCGTGCAAACAATGAAGAAAGCATTTGGTGAGTGGTATTTTTGTGACATCCTGAGTCTAGGAAATGAAATTCATCGAGAAGCTCTCCAAATACTCATCGTCAGCCAGAAATGAGAATGATAACGGTCTCATCTCCATTCATTTTCACACAAGGCACTCGTTCCAAATGAATAAAGAAGCATATCTTTTAAACATCACTATATGATAAATCAATTGTTCCATTTGATGAAAAATGATTACGAAAAACTTTTAAGTCACTGACGAAACAATATTTTTTTAAACTGAAGTTTTCCCAAATAATTTAAAACAACTAGTTAGGTAACCAAAATATCAAATTGGAAAGAAAAATTTAAAATATATATATTTCTTTTTTCTCGGACGGAATTTGTCATTTATTGCAAGGGAAAATTTAATAGCGTGAGGTAACAGACAATACATTAACATTTTTCACTGGATTATGTCACACTGTTTGGAAATACCTTGTGCTTTCTACTTTTGGTCTATTTTTGTTTCATGTCATATTAAAAGCTTATACGTACCGCTATCTCGTTTTAATGACAAATAATAATAAAAACAAGATTTTGAGTTTAAATTCCAAATTCAAAGTCACTCGTTTTGGCTTTGAAAAACTTGCAGCTTATGAGTATGTAAAAGAAAAGAACATACATCTAAAAGAATAATTTCGTTTCTGAGTGAAATCGAGAAGTATTCTCTTGTCTGGTGATTTCGAATTCCTTAAGCAGTCTCTTTTACAAACAACAAATTAATTGTTAATGAGTCGTTTTAAATATATGTTTTGAAACACGATATGGTGTCCACAATGTAGGATTTGTTAACAGGTTTCACTTTTGAGTCATCAGCTTTGTCTTGTTATGGCAATGCCACACTAATGCTTTCAAGATATGAAATGTTTACCGACGAAACATAGGCCATCTATTTAGAGGCTGCTAATGGAGACAGTTCCCTGTGGTACTCTCAGTTATTCTTAACAAAGAGAAAAAACGTTATGTATGTTAAATATATCAATTTTTGTTGAGACACCTGGTTGTTACCCAGCAAATAAAAGTTCTTAATAGCGAAAACTCTCAGTGCAATAGAGATATTGGTTTTGTTGATAAGCAGTTTAATAAAGAGTCGACGGTAAAAAATAATCTTAATCACGTTTTTTTACTAAAACAGTGAATTTCCAGGTTGGGTGCCTCTTGGTCAACTTTTTGGATTAGTTTCAGATCCAGGTGATGTCCCGAGTACGGTTCACTTTTCGTACGTGCTGTGTTTAGGTTTTATAGTTAGATCTAACGTCATACCAAAAATTGTAGTTTATCACTCAGCCAGCTTTACAACTCAATAGGAGTCCACACGAGAATGCAAAACTTGTTTAACTCTTTTCAGGTGTTGTAAAGAGGAAAATAAGTTTTTTAACAATGATCCTAATGAAGTAGTGTAGGATGCAGACAAACTCTGTGGGGGACTAGAGCTGTCAAAGAGTTTGTTTAAGATCTTTCAGGTGTTGCGGCTGTACCTTAATTTTTTTTAAAAACAGGGTTTAATCTGATAGGAAAGTGGAGATTAGAAAAAGGCCTTTACAAGGACACATAATGCACGATTATTTAAATGGAGGTTCTTCTGTGATAATGTAAAAAAGTGATTTACAGAGTTTCGACCCTTGGAAAACTCCGCAGGGGTCTTGAAGAGATAAAATCAATTTTTCAGGATTTTGAAAATAATAGTTAACTCAGCGGATTATTAATGACCCGCACCAAAATGAAAGTAAATGAATGGTAATGCGCTCATAGAAAATAGAATCAAGAGACGTCTCGAGGGCTACTTTTCAGACCCAGTTCATACCCTAAAGGAACTGGAATTTGAAAATCTCACTCATCGTTTGATCTACAAATAAAGAAAAATCGACTCACAAACAATCTTTTCATATTAGCTTAATGGGTGGATCACGTTTTGGTCTCTGTAGAGAAACTTAAAAGAAAGCATGTGTTTCTTTTACATCAAAAGGACACGAGCTTTCTAGCGTAAAGTCATAATTAATAATTTCAATTCAAAGAA